ATAGGCTCCAGGCTCTATCCAGGACAATACAAGAGTTATTAGATCATTGTTTTTTTCAGCTTAGTAGTACTCCATTGAATACATATACCATATTTCATTAATCCATTCATGTATTGATGGGCACTTGGATTTTTTCAGCAGCTTTGGAGCTGTGAATTGTGCTGCTCTAAAAATTTGAATGCAGATGTCTTTATTATAGAATGTATTTTTAAAATATGTTTATTGGCCATTAGTTTATCTTCTTTTGAAAAGTTTCTGGTTTTGTCCTTTACCCACTTTTTAATGGGATTGTTTGATTTTTCCTTAGTGATTTTCCTGAGTTCTATTTAGATTCTACTTATCAGGTCTTTATCAGCTGTATAATATGCAAATATTTTTCCCATTCTGTAGGTTGTCTATTCACTTTAATGATAAATTTAAAATCTTAGGTTTTCTATTATTTTTCTTACTGTAATCCTTTGCCTCAGGTAGCTTTGGGGATTTTTTTTATCACCTTACAATATTTTTAAGGAAAGCCTGCTACTTTTACATAGAGTAAGGTACCAGTAAGAAAAAACAGAGATAAGCACCTTGTTTAATTTCTTCAGGTATCCCGTAGACAAAATCCAGAATAGATAAGACAATTAATTTGTAAATATTGTCTTCTGCTTTGTCAGGAACCAGGAACCATGGTCCCACACTGCGAATATGAGCTGCTGTCTTCAAGATCACTACTGAGCCAAATAGCTGATGAACCAAGTGCAAATAAAAATACCAAAAAAACCTCTTCTACTATTTTTAAGCTGCTGCGTTTTTGCTTTGCAATAAATATTTTATTGTTTTTCACATTTCTGACATAGTTTTTCATTATTTTTGATATTTCTGTGAGGGAACAGGAGTTTGAAGCTGATTACTTTATCAATTCCTGTTGTCACCGAACTTTGTGGTAATTTCTTAGGCCCTATTTTCTTTTTCCCTTTTATTAGGATTTTTATGGTCAAATATTATGCACATTTTTTGTGTGTGTGCTGATAATGAGTTTACTGTTCATATTTAAGAATGATTTAATTTGATTTTTATAGGTAGTTGGTGTTGGTTTCATTTTTTAAACTGTGTATTCATCTTTTTTCATGACTGATCTTTTTCCTAATGTGCAGTTTGAGTATAGCTCTGTGTACATAGGTAAAATATATTAATTTGCATTTGCATACCATAGATTTCATTTAGGGTACATGTGTGTGGAGTATACCAGCACATTAGTATAGTTTGGGATAAACTGTGGGAGTTCAAGTAACAGAATAAGGAGATCTTTATTCAAGTATACCATATCCCACGTTTGGAGCCATAGTTCTCTGAGGGTATTTTATTAAAATTTCTTAAAAATAAACTTAAAAGTTATTTTGCCTGCTGGTAAGTACCAAGTTTCCAATCACTATAGAAGAGGCATGTATGTGTGTGTGTGTGAGTGTGTGTAGGGATATTAGTGATGCAGCCCTTTTTTCAACCTCATATCACTCTTATGTTTGGTACTCATTTAGAGCTTCTCTGGTACTTCTCTGGAATTATTGGATCCCATCTCCAAACTTCTGCACATACTATGCTTTACTTATCCTCTTACTATGCTCTCATTAAATGATGATTATGTTCCCTCTCTCTGTTATAAGATTAGTTCCTTTGTAACTTTTTACTTCCTGTCATTACACAGGGGTTTGGGGAAGAATGGGTGGTAAAAATGTGCTTAGAACCACTGTGTTAAAGTGGAAACATATCAAAATTCTTGAGTTTGTTTGGTGATGTTTCTTGTCCACAAAACTCTGATGAAAGAAATTTTCAGGTGGTACAGTACTTTGGAAAATCAAGAAATAAAAAATCATATATTCTAGAGGGAAAGTGTCTGGACTCTGCTATATACTGTGTAATCAGATATAATGAGGAATCTATGAAAGAAAAAAATAGGGATATTAAGCCATTAATTACAAAGGTCCAAATTCTTCTATTGGCAGGATTTAAAGGCGAAAGAAGATTATCTGAAAAGAATATCCATTTGGCGATTATTTTATTATGTGACAAAGGGCAAATCATGAGCTGAAGCTTGTATTTACTCTGCTACAAAACTTTATTACTGTTTTAAGTTAACAGAGGCTAAGTGGTTTTTAATATGTTAAAAGATCATGCTTCTCTACTTTCTTTATAAATCTTTATTGTAAGAGAATTGAAATTTGGCCATGTGTGAACAGTAGACAATTGTTTTTGTTTGTTTGTTTGTTTGTTTGTTTGTTTGTTTGTTTTGCGTGTTTCAAAATTACATATCTCCTGGGCTGTAGGCTGCGTTAATGGAGTTATCTATGACAAGATTACAAACTGTTATCACAAGGGAACAGATGACCGAGCCTGGAAATTTCCTCATATAGTCCTAGGTATAAAAAATGCAAACTTCATACAGGCCATTCTCACCTGACTTAAGTGACATCTCTAATGATTACAGATGTTGAGAACATTTTTTATATGTTTGCATGCCATTAATCTGTCTTCTTTGGAGAAGTTTCTGTTCATTTTCATTGCCCATTTCTTGATGGGGTTGTTTGATTTTTTCTTGTTTATTCTTTTAAGTTCTAGATAGATTCTTGTTATTAGTCCTTTATCAGAAGTGTAGAGAGCAAATATTTTCTCCCATTCTGTGGGTTGTCTATTTGCTCTAATGATCGTTTCCTTGGCAGTGCAGAAACTTTTTAATTTGATCAGATCCCATTTGTTTATTTTAGCTGTGGCGGTGATTGCCTTGGGGCTCTTCCTCATAAATTCTTTGCCTAGACCAATATCTGATAGGGTTTTCCCAGCATCTTCTTCTAGAATTCTTAAAGTTTTGTGTCTTAGGTTTAGGTCTGCTATCCATCTTGAGTGAATTTTTGTGAGGGGTGAGAGGTTAGGGTCCTGATTTGCTCTTCTGCATATTGCTAACCAGTTTTCCCAGCACCATTTATTGAAGAGAGAATCTTTTCCCCATAGTATATTTTTGTGTGCTTTATCAAATATTAGGTTACCATATACAGATGGTTTGATCTCTGGAATCTCAGATCTATTCCAGATATCGATGTTTCTGTTCTTGTGCCAGTGCCAGGCAGATTTTACTATTATTGCCTTATAGTATAGCTCAAAGTCAGGAAGACTGATCCCTCCCAGTTTTTTTTTCTTACTTAAGATTGCTTTGGCTATGCGTGGTTTTCTCTGGTTCCATACAAAGCAAAGGATTGTTTTTTCTAGATCTGTAAAGAATGCTGGTGGTATTTTGATGGGAATTACATTGATTCTGTAGATCACCTTAGGAAATACTGACATTTTAACAATATTGATTCTTCCTAGCCATGAGCATGGTAGAGTTTCCATCTGTTTAAAGCATCTGCAATTTCTTTTTTTAGTGTTTCATAGTTCTCCTTATATAAATCTTTTGTATCTCTCGTTAGATAAACTCCTAGATATTTAATTTTCTTTGGAGCTATAGTAAAGTGTATTGCATTTTTGATTTGCATCAATATTGAAGCCTTGATGCTAAAACTATTGCAGGATTTAGAAATAAATTTCATTGTATTGAAATTACAGCTGACCCTTCAACAACATAGATTTGAACTTCATGGCTACAATTATATGTGGATTTATTTCAATATATCTCTCCTGCCTTTTCCTCCACCTCCTCCAACTCTTCCACCACTGCCACCCCTGAGACAGCAAGACCAACCCTTCCTTTTCTTCATCCTCTTCAGCTTACTCTGTTTGAAGACAATGAAGATGATGAATTTTATGATGATCCACTTCCACGTAATGAATAGTAACATATTTTCTCTTCCTTATGATTTTCATAATAAAATTTTCTTTTATCTAGTTTACTGTATTGTAAGAATACAGTATATGCTACATAACATAAAAATATGTGTTACTTTCCTGTGATGTTATCAGTAAGCTTTTCAGTCAACAGTGGACCATTAGTGGTTAAATTTTTGTAGAGTAAAAAGTTATACATGAATTTTTGACTGCACAGTAAGTCAGTTTCCTTCATTCCCAGTTTTTCCAAGAGCCAACTGCATATGTTTATAAAGTCAATATAGTAGTGGTGCTTATGTGTATGATCTTTGAAGTCCAGACAGTTTATGTTCAAATAACAAATTTACCACTTCCTCCAAATTGTCATACTAGTTTTAAGACACTGACAGGCCAAGTAACTTCATCTTTAAGTCAAGCACATCATAAACACTTGATAAATTATGTGTTTTTTTTAATATTCCTTTTCTATTTTCCTATGAACAACTTGAGTTCACAAACTATATCTTAGAAATTATTGCCTTTCAACAGTCTATAAAAGGGCTTGACAGATGAAAGTTTCTAACTAATATTTAATGAATGGATAAAAAGGAAGAATGAAAGTTATGTGTATAAATGTTTATTTTTATTTGGGGTTACTGGAGTAAACTTATCTAGGTATATATGAATTACCTAACTTAGTGGATGTTATCTTTTGAAAAGTTTACATGAAATGCCCACTGTAGAACAACTCAGGAACAAGACAAACTGTCTGATTAAGGTTACAGCCAACAGATGATAAAAACAACAATAACAACAAGAAAAAAACTTTTTATCATGTTTCCAACACCATTGCTAGTTAATTTTGATACCTAACTAGACCACCGAAATCACTAGACCCATTAGTGATCTAACATTTATTTGACATGTGATATCACACTTAATTTTCACGGTGGCCTATTAAGTTGATGACATCATATCCCCATTGTATAGGTGAGGAAATTGAGATATAACTGGCCTCCAAGTTCACAGACTTAATAAATAGTAGATCCAGGTCTTGAACTTGACAGGCTGCCTGTAGATGTAGTTCTCTTAACTATTATGCCATACATAAGATACCAGAATCACAGCTGGCTCAGGTCCCTTCTGAGCAGATAATTCAAAGGATAGTAGACAATGACTTTCTTCCCCTTTTAAATATGTGTGTTTATTGCCAAAGGGATAGGAATATGGAGAGCTTAACAAGCACAGAGAAAACCAACTCAGTACAAAATCAGAGTACTCAAAAGTCAAAAGTAAGCCATGCTCTATTACAGTATTTTCTTTTTTTCTAATTTACTGAAGAACATTTAGGGAGCATGCAATTCTTTCATTTAAATCACTATTAGATTTCAGTAGCATTGAATTAGTGTGATGATTCCATTTAACATTTTTAAAATACAATCAATAAATTATGCATTACAGGAACAGTGTAAGATAGACCCTTATTTTATCCCCTTGGCAAAATTATATCTTTGACTTGCCTTTGGGGAAAAGAAATATAAGAAAAGGAGAAGGCAGTTAAAGAGAAAAAATATATACCACAACCCCCAAAATAAAAGAAAGCAAAATAAAAATCTCTCTTCTTTTATAGAGGTAGATCTATAGAAAACATGTAGTTTTTACCATTTGCCTTTAATGTTTTCCTTTTCCAAAATTCCACTTTTTCCACTTTGCTTTCTTTTATCACACAAATAATTAATAAGAATCTTTCCTGTTGCCCATCAGATACAAGTGTTCATTATAATGCATGTAAATAAAATGATTCATGCTAATCAAATTCTGGGCTAAAAATAGTGATATTTTAAGAAGGCATTCAAAGAAAAGCATGTGTTATTCTCCTACTCAATCAAACTTGATCAACAGAAAGTTATCTGCATGAAGTTTGTTCTTTTAGACTCTCTTAGGATAGCTTTCAATTAGCTATCATTTAAAGTTATGTTTTTGGCCTTTATCAAGTATCAATAAGGAATATATACTAGAAGATAGTTTATTCATTTATTGTCCATCTGTTGTCAAAGATGCTGTCCATTATATCAATAATTTTCCTCTAGCAAAGCAGCAGGAGGAGGGCAGTGAGGACGAGGAAGACTTAGATGAAGACGATTGGGAAGATATTGATTCTGATGAAGAATTGGAATGTGAGGATACTGAAGCAGTGGAGGAGCATGAGGCAGAGGAGGAAAAGGCTGGAGAAAGCCCACCCCTTGGAGCCATCCCTATAAGAGACTGCTTATTTTGTTCCCATCATTCAAGCTCACTCGTGAAGAATGTGGCTCATATGACAAAAGTCCACAGCTTCTTTATTCCTGATATAGAATATCTTTCAGATCTTAAGGGACTGATTAAATACTTAGGAGAGAAAGTTGGTGTTGGGAAGATTTGCTTGTGGTGCAATGAGAAAGGGAAATCCTTTTACTCCACAGAGGCTGTGCAGGCACACATGAATGACAAAAGCCACTGTAAGCTCTTCACAGATGGCGATGCTTCTTTGGAATTTGCAGATTTCTATGAATTTAGGAGTAGCTACCCAGATCACAAGGAAGGGGAGGATGCCACTGAGTCTGAGGAGTTGCCCTCAGAAAAGAACTTAGAATATAATGATAAAACCATGGAGCTGATTCTGCCTTCTGGTGCCAGAGTGGGTCATCGTTCCTTGATGAGATACTACAAACAGCGATTTGGCGTGTCAAGAGCTGTGACAGTTGCGAAAAACCAGAAGGCTGTGGGCCACGTCCTTCAGCAATACAGAGCCCTGGGATGGACTGGCAGCACAGGAGCGGCTCTTATGCGAGAACGAGACATGCAGTATGTCCAAAGGATGAAATCAAAGTGGATGCTGAAGACAGGAATGAAGAATAATGCCACAAAGCAGATGCACTTTAGGGTCCAAGTGAGATTCTGAGAGTCTGCGGCATTGAGTCAACCTCCTGCTCAAGTTTCCTCCTTGTCCGAGGACCAGGGAAGGCCAGATTGTATGATGGGCCCTTTTGCTGCTACTCCATTTGTTCTGACCTAATAATAAAAGTCAGAATCATACTGGTTTTCAAAGTTCATGTTGAATATTGTTTAAAGGTTATGTTGTCACAAAGTGAGTGGTCTGTCTGCTGGACCTGGGACCTGCACTGCTGCTTGGCAGTTGCTTCATTGCCTCAGCTGTTGAATGATTTATGGCTGTCAGAATAATGTGGGAAACTCAGGAGTGACTCATCTGCTTCAAACTTAGTTTAATTTTCAGATCAACTCACCATGCCACAGCACTGGGATCCATGTGAGGGTGCTTTGAGGCTTATATAGGAGCAAAGTTGAATGTCACTTGTTGACTATGTTGTGGCTTAGGAGGTGGTGAATGTATTTGGGCACTTTCATTAAATCCAGACAAAGTTAAAAAAAATAATAATAATTTTCCTCTAGACACGGTCCTATGTGATAAATTACTTTGTAAGTTTAGCATTGGAAAAAAGTTTGTTTTCATTTTTATTTTTTACTGAAGAATTGATATAGTTTTCAAAATTAGATAATGGGTAAAAGAGGCAGAGAAGTAGTTGCCAGAAAAAATATATAACGAGGAACATGCAATATTAGGGAGCTCAAGAGAAGGGAATTATTAGGTGTCAGAAGGTCAGAAAAAAAAGTGTTATTTTGGGAAAAAGACCACAAACTGTTCACTGGTAGCTTTTATGATAGTAGATTAGGAGGGAACCATCATTGGATCAGTCACTGTCCAGTATTTTGGCCTTAGCTTCCCCTCCTTGCCCCTGAGGCTTTTATACAATCCTCATTCCATTTTCTTAACCTGGAGCAGCCATACAAAGTTTCCATTCACCATGCTGGCACTCAACCATTAAAATATCTCTCATCTAAATCACACCCGTTTGGAGACTGAGTCACAACATTTTTATTGTACTGTGAAAAGGGAAATAACTTTGTGGGAACTTATCTTTTATAATAAAGTAGCATTTAAACTGCTGTCTTTGTTCCTTAACCTATTTATCACTCTAATGACCAGTGAAAGGGTGGGCAGATTCAACCAAGTGGTTGTCTTCCAAAATATCTCAAACCATACTGCCTAAGCATTTGTCTACCATGCTTAATTTCAGAGCTATACATAGTTCAACAATCATAAAAAGATAATCTGATTAAACTACATGTATAAAAATGTGATAAACACCTGAAACAGCTTCTGCACAGCGAACAAGAACATTTTTTTTTAACGGGAGAGAATTAAGTCAGTATACATGTTGATGCAAGTACACAGAATACAAGTAAGACAAAGCCTAGATATTGAAAGTCTGGATTGGTGTTGTGGTATCAGTTATCAGAGATATAAATTATTTGTCTTTTTGGGAGTACATGACCTCCATTATCAAGGTAATAACATGGTTCAACATGGCAGTTGATTCCATCTATTAGATCCATATTACCATCACCAGAAGTAGGAACAAATGCAAAAAGGGGAACTTCCTGGTTGAATCAGTTTTCTTTAAGTTACATCTGCAGCAGTTACCCACAAAATATTCACTTACAACTTATTTCCCAAAATTTAGTCACATAGCTACACCTATCTACAGAGAAATCTGGAAAATGTAATGTTTTATTCTGAATTACAAAGTGCCCAGTTAAATTTGAGGTTCTGTCTGTGGGCATCTCTGCATCTGTAATGACTCTTTAAAATTGTCTTAAATTGAGATGTGAATGAGCAGAATTTACCAAAAAGAAACATTTTAGAGTCTGTTTGTCTTCAACAAATAGACTCTGTTATGGACTGTACTCTGGAAGGAGGGAATAACCTAGGGAAATGTCAATCTATGATTATTGACAGAGCTATGAACTGTCAGTAGCTGATATTTCCAGCAGCTGCACAATGAAAACAACCCTGAAGAATGCATCTGGAGAAAGCACTATAATATGTACTATATCTGGCAAATGTGCTGGAAGGAAAAAAGATCCAGTGATGAGTAAATTGAATAGCTGAGTCATTAAAGTGATGGAAAACAAGGTTATACCTCTATAAGGAAGGAAAACGGTTGACAGCCAAGGATTAAGAATTTCTATTAGTTAGATACAAAATGGTAGAAGTTTATATTTCTAGCTCAAAAATAATTCAACGTAAGAATTCCTGGTAGAAATATAGCACCTTTTTTACTCTAGTGTTCCATCTTGTAACTAGGGACTCAACATTGTCTGCTTCTAACTGGAAAAATTGTAATGAGCAAATGGAGAAGACAAGTAGAATTCATGGCTTCTGCTCTCTTTCCATTGATGATAACTTGTTATATAGACACGTGTATCTCAAATAAAGGATGGGAATGTACTGTAGCTGTCCAGTCATGTGTCTTCTATTTTCATTGCAGTGGAAGAAGTAATTACTAATTTTAGTGGATGTCTAGTAGTCTGTGTTAGGATTTCAGTGATAACAAAGAAATGAGTGAAGTTGGAGAAAGAGATGTGAGAACAAAATTGTTCAATGCATGCTATCAGTGAGATGCATATTTTGATTTAATATTTTATATATGAGAAAACTCTTGGGTGATAATAAGGTATAAGGTATAAGTTATGGCCATGGGTGAAGGGGAATGATGTAGAATATGGATAAATTGGGGAATCGAAGATTTTGAAAACTTTGTAGCCATAATATTTAAAAGTCACCATATAGGACAATAATTATATTAGATAAAACTTAAACAGTGCTTACCAAGTGCCAAATGGTCTTTTAGATGACATAAATTTATTAATTCAATTAATTCTCTCTATAATTCTATGAGCTTCATGCTATCATTATCCCCATTTTATATATGTGAAAGCAAATGAACAGAAAGTTTTGGTAATTTTCCCAGTCTCACAGAGCTAGTAATTGGTGAATCTATAATTGAAGCCTGAAAGACTGGCTCTGAAGCCCTTGTTCCTATCTCTATGATAGCAGAATATAAGATAGAGAGATAGCCAGTGATTTAGGTGTCATGAATTAAAAAATGAGAGTGAATGGCTGAAAGGTGTGAACCTGACACAGGGAAGGAGGAGAATGGATTGTATGGCATTAGACTCAAAGGAGTGATATTTTTAAAACACTAGCGATAGATTGTTTAATTTCCATGACATTTTGAAGTGGTGTTTGTGTTGGAATTAAACTCTAATTTGATAGCATTGTGTTGTAAGAGGATACATGGTCTAATTTCTATTTTTTTAAAAATATTTTGAGATCTGATTTGTGGCCTAGAATGTGATCAATTTTGGAGAAGTTCCGTGAGATGTTGAGAAGCATGTATATTCAGCTTTATTTAGGTGGAATGTTCTGTAGATGTCTGCTAGACCCATTTGTTCTAAATCTCTGTTTAAGTCCATTGTTTATTTGCTTATTTTCTTCTCGGAGGATCTGTGTAGTTCAGTCAGTGTAGTGTTGAAATCCTCAGCTACTATGGCATTATGGTGCATCATGTTATTTAGATCAAATAGGGTTTGCTTTATGTGTCTTGGTGCTCCTGTGTTGGGTGCATAAATATTAAGGATTATTAAGTCTTATTGTTGGAGTTTTACTTTAACCATTATAGAGTGACCATATTTGTCTTTATTTACTTTTGCTATTTTAAAGTTTATGTTATATGAAATATGTGAACTTAGTTATATGTGGAGAGACAAGAACACTCTTACACTGCTGGTGGGACTGCAAATTAGTGCAACATTTGTGGAAAAGAATTTGGAGATACCTCAAACAGCTAGAAATAGAAATACCATTCGACCCTGCAATAGCATTGTTGGGCAACTACCCAAAAGAGCATAAGACATTCTATTATAAAAACATCTGCACCTGAATGATTATGGCAGCACAATTCATTATTGCACGGTCATGGAAACAACCCAACTGTCCGTCAATTCATGAGTGGATAATTAAAATGTGGTATATGCTCACAATGGAATATTACTCAATCCTAAGGAATGACTATGAGATGGCACCGTTGATGCTATCCTAGATTAAGCTTAAGCCCATTATTCAAAGTGAGGCGACACAAGACATAGACAATGGGCCCCACATCTACTCGTCATCAAATTGGTACTGACTGATTAAAACTATGGTTTTCAAATGGTGGCAATGCTCACCAGAGATTCTGGGGTGGGGGGACGCAATCTTAGGGATGTGGCAAGCATTTTGGAGGGAAAGGGCATAACTCTAACCCTTTTTAGGGAAAGGCAAAGATATACAATGTAACCAAAATGTCAAAAACAAACAAACAAACAAAAAAGAAAAAAAAAAAAAAAAACTTTTTATCGGGTGGTCAGCAGCCAGGAGGGGGGAGGAGGAAAGGGGTATATATTTACATAACGTGTGTGGTGCACACCACCCGGAGATTGGACACATCGGGGGTAGGGAGTGGAGCAGGGGCAATATTTGTAACCCTAACAATATTTGTACCTCCATAATATGATGAAATAAAAGGAAAAAAAAATATTACTTTATACCTGTTAAAATGGCTATTATCAAAGAGATAATAGATAAGAAGTGTTAGCTAGAGTGTGAAGAAATGATAACACTTCTATACCCTTGGTGGAACTGTAAATTGGTACAGTCATTTTGGAAAATAGTGTGGAGGTTTCTCAAAACATTTAAAATATAAGTGCCATACAATACAGAAATTCCACTTCTTGTTATATATCCAAAACAATAATAAAATCAGTATCTTGAAGAGAAACTTACACCCCCATGGTTATTGTGTATTATTCATGTTAGCAAAGATATACCAACAATGAAAGTGTCTGTTAATGTATAAATCAATAAAGAAAAGGTGATATATGTGTGTGTGTGTGTTTATAATTATAATGGAATATTATTCAACTACAAATGAAGAAAATATTACCATTTGGGATAACTTAGATGAACCTGGAAGGGTTTATGCCAAATGAAATAAGCCACAGAAAGACAAATATGGTATATTTTAATACATACATTAAATCTAAAAAAAGCCAAACTCATAGAAGCTAAGAGTAGAATAATGTTTTTTAACGGCTTGAGTGTGAGAGGAAAGGGGGGATTTTAGTCAATGGGTAAAATTTTTCAGTTA